GCCATCCTCTCAAATAAATATAGCAAAGCGAAGATCTTCAGCGTTTTAGGCTTTTGTCATTTTTTCCACGAGAGGGTTTATTATTCTTCCAACTGTAAGAGTAGTTGTATTCCAGAATTTCCAGCCCTGGTTGACAAGCTCTACAAATCCAGATGATTTGACCAATTTTGTTTCTTTTTCGGGGGGGGGGTTCTCATCTATTAAGTCCTGGTCTTTGGATTTAGTCTTAAATAATATTTGTGTAGTTTTGTCTTTGTAATTTACTCGTTTTCAAATTTTGAAAATGTCTCGTGAAATTGCATGTATTTTTAATTATCATAGTATCCATCTTTTTAATCGAATTAACTTGAAAGTACGTTCAGGCCCTTTTTGGCCTAGTTGTGTGCTCGACGGGTATTTGTGTAATAGTCCATTTTATTTATAAAATTATCCTAACATAATTTATACATTGTAATTTCCTACACATTGTGGATTTTAAATGTTTTTTACGATCATGTATATGAAACGTAATTCGGCCTTTGGCTGCAGTGTTTCTGTTTTAAAATAAACCAATAATAATACTAACTGTAACTCCGCATCTCATATAATCAGAACTTGTATAAAACAAAGCGAGCCTTTGTTCCCCTACAATAAGGGTATGGTGATTGAAAATAAAAATCGAGAGATGGAGATTGTCTCGTTAAGTAGTCACAGGCAAGTAAATGGCGTAACAATACAGTCATGTATTAGGAAGTTATAAGAACTCCACACGCAGTTTCGGAGTGACGGGCACTCGAAGAGAAGCGCGACTCGCATCTCGCTAATGGACTTGAAAAAAATTCTCCTTCAAATGTGAATGACACGCACATTATTCTATTAGAAATCGCCCGACTTGGTCCATTATATTCGGCTCATTTGCCATCTACCTGAGTCAGCTAACGCGCCAATTGTTCCCTAGCAAAATCTAGCGGCAACAATGCTTTACAATGAAGGCGCCCTTGAATGGCTACGAAAAAATTATGAAGATCTATCTTTGGTGTGTTAATAAAAGGAAAAGAAATGCGGCTTTGTAATGCTACTGAATGTCAGATAGGCCAGAAATAATATTTCCGGTTTGAAAGGAAATTGCCTCCAAATGAAAGATTGAAAACCACAATAATATCGGGGCACTGCAACAATGAGAAGGAAACTGCATTGCTCGAAAAGTCTCAACCGAGAATGGAATTAATATGCTATTGGTCTTTATTTAAGTTTTGAAAATATAAAACACAAAGTAAGACCTAGCTTATTTTGTAAATAAAAAATGTTTGTTTTGTTCTTACTTACTCTTAGTATTGCTCACTTTTTTTTAAATTGTAAGTCCAAGTTCAACAGTACTCTACATCTGTGGACCGCACTGGATAACATGAACAGCTCAAGGTGATTTATAGAACACTATCGTATATTTCAGGGTGAACAGACTAGGACAGCATGTTGAATAATAAAGCTAACAGCTGCATCTTATCATGGCAAAACAAGTATTTATATAGGTCACAATTCATTTTCGTCAGACTCCTCGATGACTAAAATGGTAAGCTCAAAACGATTTTGGTGTTTTTTGTCAGATTCAATTTTTGTCATTTCATAAAATCAATCACGACACGAAATTAAAAATTAAGGATAGGGGAAAATAGGTTAATGCGTTATCGCATCGTGGAGAATTGTTTTATCTAGTTTGTAGCTTCTGACATTTGGCACATCAAAGCGGCCTGGACGCACAGCGACCCGCTATTTAATTAAAATGTACCATTACTGGATACGGACACAGTCTTTATCCTTTGAAGAATCACACGCATATTAAACACACTCACTTCCCAGGTCGATATTAAATGTTCACGTCAGAGGTTACCTATCTACCCTTTTTTTCAGAGCACCTCGCGGTTAGCGCTGGGAAAACAGTTGTCACTGAGATTTTCACCAGATACCGATTTTGTGAATTAAATTTCATAAAAATGAAATTGCAAACAACAACAACAACAACAACAAAACATGAAAAACCAGTGAATCAGTACGAAAACTGTTGCTCTCGTTTGAGACATCTCCTGAACAGCACTGTCATTTCCTGATCGGCTTGTCACGCGGGGACCTGGTGCACTGGAGTAAGTTATACTTATTGGCAAGTGAATTAAGCGAAGTCAAACTGCATATCCTACAGAGGTAAAATTCATTTTGTTCAAAATGCTTCCGTTTTCATTCAGTGGGTTTCTGAGACGTTATATAGCATGGAGGAGATCTGGTATAGAGAGGGGTTTCCTAGTCGCTAGGTTAATAAATAGAGTCCGCGATACATATTTTAAATACGGTTTAGTAATCCCAAAAAATAAAGCAGAAGCGTTAGCAAGAGGCTGCACGCTCAGTCGAAACTCGAGGTAAACTATTCACTGAATTTTGATTTGTGTTACGTTGTGTATCCCTCTCGCGACTCCAAGGGAAATCCAAGTGCCCTCAACTCTCTACCTCCGTAAGTCTTGATCTCTCCTCGCACCGAACAGGGCAAAGCGCTCCAGTGTGCTTCAGACTGACAGACTCCGGCAAAAACCCAAAAGGCCCTCAATGACTAACCAACACAGAGAAAGCACTAGATCTCGGCCTGGTGTTTACCGACAGAAGCGGGTCCCGCGAGAGAACATGAAGGCACAATCCACTCGGAACGGAGCTCGGCGACGTGAATGGGTGAGTGATGGGGGGAGGGGAGAATCTTCCACCAGCACATAGCCAGAGCTTCCGCAGTTGATGGGACTGGGCCGTCAGTATTTTCATTTGCTCATAGGAGCCAAAGGATTGCAGAGGGCGGACGATGAATATTTTGGCTTTTAAGCCCAAGGATCGATCGGGTTTGACGAGAAAGAAAGAGTCATGCAACTGGTTTGTATGCCTTTAGACAAAGATAATACGCTTCGCTAAAACATGATCAAATATAAATAGTGCCCCACCCATGTCTTCCAGGATAACTGACTTAGCTTGAGCTGGTTAGACGATGTAATAATAACGTCTTAGCCTCCAGCCTTGGAAAGTATATTGATCCCATAATGTTGTCGTGAAAATATTTCAGCCAACCAAATCATTATAAGCGTTTGCTCGAATAACATTCCCATCCGGAATTAAAGCACAGACGTTCAAAATGGACCCAAACTCGTTTTAGACTTAGCAGCCAATAGGAACGTTTGCATACAGCAGCCATGCATCTTGAAGGTCTTGGTTATTTTAATCTTGTTTTGAACCTCGCTTATCTATACGGGCCAAAAGCATGCCCTTCCAAGATCATGCATGGCTGTCACGCAACTTACACTGCTAAATGATTGCCAAATGTTGACCGCTAACCAAGCCAAACAAAACAAAAAGAAACAAACAAAAACAGTAAACATACCACACGAACGTCTTTGTGTCTACGAAGGGAACGACACCTTAATAATAAACCTAACAAATAAAAGCGCCATTACATCAACGGTTATAACCTGACCCTCTCCACAAAATGACTCTTTGGGGTTAAAAAAAAGTTCAAATTTTTTATGTCTTAAAAGACACGTGTTATTATTCAGAATGCAAACCTCAGTCCCGGTCACCTGTTGCATGTGAACCTCAATATCTCCTTGTCCACTCTCAATCCGAAATCGACCTGTGCATATCTTTCTTTTTCTCTTGTCGTGTCCGTCCCAACACAATGATAGACAGACGACAACCCCCCCCCCTTTTTGCTGGGGAGCGTAGGCTTTTTGTGCATTTTATGTGGACACTGTTGGGTTGTAATGGGTGAGTGACATTTACAGAGAATTTTTCTTTTTTCCCTTCTGTTTAGAAATGACGGTGTTCGTAACATCTCTTTACTGCAGTCACTTAAAAAGCCCCGAGAGGGAAAATGAGACGGGAGTTGTAAATATCAGTTAGCTAGAACGATGAAGTGGAGATGACAACGCGAACGGAAATCGAAGACGTCGTTATCCGGCAAGGTTTTCTACAGGCCTTGCATTACAGTTTCAACTTGATGGTCAAAGATATCGGTATTTGATCCAACATCAAATTTTACGAAAATGTTTTAGGTCACTTAAAATAGACCCGGCTGTTTCGCGGCTTTTTATTGCTCCAAAATTTGCTTTTTAATAGTGGCATGCTCGTTCTCTAACGACATTACTTCCGTGACAGTCACCAACGATGAAGTTACATTTGTGCAAAAGGAAACTTAACACAGAAAACGAAATCCACGTGTCACCATTTACAAGAATTTACTGGAAACTGTATAGCCCATAGATCTTGCGTCTTCTTTACAAAGATGCAGTTGGTAAAGTAGATTATGTCTTTGCCTCAGATGAAATGCAATACTTTCGGTGAATGTAAAGTGATACAACCGAACTCGTGTGTCGTATATTTTTGTCTCCAAAATTAGGACAATTTAGTGGTTGCCTTGGTCACTAACAGACCAAAGACGTGTCACTTAAAAGCGAAATCTCGTTTTGTCAATCTCGATTGTCAAGGACTGGGACGTGCATGTAACTGATATCTAACTCATACTGTGACAAATTTCCAGCGAATTCAGATCCAATATCGCAGTCGCGTATTTCGGCCTCGACAATTTTGTCTCCTCTCCTAAACAGTCTTCTGCTCTCAATAAACGCCCGTGCTTACTAAACTACAGAACGACAAGATGCGAAGCCACAAGACGCAAAGCTAGAGGACATTCAATTCGGAATCTTAAAATTGCATCTTTGAAGCTGATTTAATGCATCTTCTCGAATTTCATGCATTGTTAAAAACAGTCAGTTAGAAAGCTTGCAGTGCAATGTTTCTAAATGTGCTTACTCTATGTCCAGCTTTGAAAATCTGCTTTAATGCATCTTCTCGAATTTCATGCATTTTCCCGTTGGAAAGCCAGCAGGCTCACTTATTACAAATGACTCTAAATGTGATGACTGTATGTAGAGCTTTAAAAACTCCGATCTCGAGTATTTTGCTGACGGCTTTGAGATGGCAATTAACCAATGTCTTACCTTTAACTTGCCGCTAGAGCGGGCATCACTGTTCCAGGATTTTGTGCTCGATTGAGCCGAACGAGCACACCACACGGGATTCAAGGCGTAATTTTCGAGCTCAACGCACCTCGCTTAGGGCTGTTCTGCAACACTACGCGGTGACAGAGTTGTCGGACACGCTTTAATCTCTCCCCTGACAGGATCGATTATCTCGGACTCTCTTCAGGAGCGATGGCTTGGTGTTGGCTACTATCTCGCCCTGGCTATAGCTACTCCGCGCTCGTGCACGGCTCTGGTCAACTGCACCGTCCCTCCTTCGACCAATGCTTCGGCGGTCTGGTCCAGGTGAGAGCAGTTCATGCAACTTCGTCATTTTCATCGGAAAGCCGCAAAAGCAGGTGAACCACGCGAGTTACTGGGTACAGATAAATTACAGGCGCACCGGTGATGAGGTGCCATTGGTGGGAGTCCATCGTGACATGTAATGACGTCAGTCCTCGCCACGCAATCAGAATCAGACTGAGCAGTGAACGGGGAGACGGAGAATACTGGTAGAAGATCGTCAAAACAGATCCCACAAATGATCGTATAAACAGGGCAAATCCATGTTGGAGACCGCTAAAGAAAACCATTTTTATCTTTTCTTCGAGTTCTGCTATAGACCTTTTGCATTGTATGTTTTTGTATAATTTTTGTATGCATTGTTTCCCCGAAAAACATGTAAACAGATTGACCTGTACGTTTGGGATCAATGAGAAAAAGTTACAGGTTTAGTGGTTGAAGGACAACCCCAGATGAACGTTCTGAGTAAAACCCACAGAATCAGCTAGGGAGTGAAAACTCAAGCCACATGTGGACCGAGCTGGGAATCGAACCCGGACCACTGAGGTGGAAGGCGAGGAGTCACTACGCCAACCTGACTCCCGTCTTTTCGTTTGCTGATTCTGTTCGAGGCGTCAAAACAACCTGTGCCGACGTCCAGAAGATTTTTTACGATATGACACTGACTGTACTATTTCCAAGACCCTCACGGCTAGCTTGATTCAGACTCTCTGGTGGCTTCTGACTTTCAAGCACAGCAGGACAATGAACACATGGCGCGTGGGGGAAATGAAACGACTAATAGGAACTGCCTGTTGGGAGCCCGTGCAAATAGCAGAAAAGAAAGAAGCGGAGGGCAACGCTTGGTTGCTCCACGCTTGTTTGATAGATCAACATTTTCTGATTTAGAGAAGATGAAGATGGCATTTCCTCTTGGTATTTGCGCTAGAAGTCACTCAAACTACGTCAGTTAACCCTTGCTCTGCATTGAATGCACTTTACATTCGGATTGGATTCAGACACAGCGCGACAACAAAGATTGTTACCTCACAAAGGATTTCAAAAGAGGCGTAAAGTGTAAAAGATCTGTTTAAAAGATACCCCTCCCCCGAAAACAGGAATGAAAAAGAAACACTGGCACTAAAGCGATAGGCAATCGATGGTCATGCCAAAATAGACTTATACAAGAATCCTAGACCAGCTCTCTATTACAAAAAAAAAATACCTCACTGCATATTCCGAGGAAAAGTAATGATATCAAGTTAAACGTTACACCAGGAAATTTGCACAATGCATGCCTTTTAATCAGAGCCTCAAGTAGTGTAGCACCTCAGTGTCCCACACCATTTTTCAGTGTTCAGTCAGATCTATTACATTTCGAAAGTCAGGATTCGGGGGCGTGTTTTAAGTACGTTAAAGTAATGATACAGCAGTCGCAGCTTTTTTAAAATCTCTCATCGTTTACCCATCCTCAGCGAACGATCGCTCACAGTTTTTTTTTTCGAAAATGAATGTTACAGTTTTTGCCTGCACATACCAAACCTGGCACAAGTGTTTCCATCTGGGATTCGGTATTAGCCTTTTTATACTATACGGCAACTGCGTAAGCACGGCAAGGGATTATGGCTCTCGTGTACTACTCAAAATACAGACGCCAACCCCATAAATGGCTCGAATCTTAAAAACTACAGTACCATCGATTTTCGGGGAAGGTCAACTTCGATCACATTATGCACGGTCATGACCGCTTTTCTATTTACAGCACTTGAATAGATTCCACAGTGCGCGGATAGCGAAAGTCACTAATTATTTTGGTTTTCCCTTGTGAGCAATCGATTTGGTTTTTGATCACACGTACACCCGGGATGCACAATCGACTGACGTCTCATGACAAAAAGCGTAAGTTGGTAGTATACGATTTTCTTTAATCACTGGCATAATTTGAAGGACGGAATTAGTATGCTAACTTTCTGAATTTACGAGGCAAGAATCTCCATTTTTGGCATTGGCATATTCCTGATTTCTGACTTCAAAGTTACCTGAGTAGTAAGCATTTTTTTTCAGAGCCCACCCCGATCGAACTTCTGGTGTTTAGGTGGTAATTCTACGAGGAGATGCCAAATAGAAGCCCTTGGTCGAAAACCAGCTACACAGCAATCAATACACGTTTATTTCGAAATTTTATTAATCATCCATGGAGACTCCAAGAAAATATGGTCAGCGACGCCCTTCATTGGCCGCTGGGCATGATGCGAAACACTGGGTGTGTCAGAGGATGTGGTGGAAGTATTTCACAAAATCCAGTCGGCACTCAATTATTTTGCCGTTGGTTGCGTCTCTCGTTGCATTCACTCATTTCTGCCATCTCCATTTTGCACTCACGTCACAGGTTCCCTCTGTACTTAATTTTAAAAAAGGCCATAGATAATCAGAGATACGACCATGCCCAAGGACCTAATACCGAATGGTCGACCAGATAGTCCGACCAGTCGTTCGGATGATGTTGGTCGAACTTTGGTAAACTCGAACACGCCCATCGCCGTTAAAAGAAAACTGCATGCAACTGCTGCCATGCTACGTTACGGCTCTGCGCACATTCAGTTGAAAATCTGTCATGCGCACTATTGCGACTGTGTCCTCCATTGGCTCTTGAGAAACGGCTACCGACTTACTGTTTCGGCATGGGCAACATCAATTTAGAATTGTCTAACTTATATGTAACGTATATACATTTTATTTCGAACGTTTTCAGTGCCTAAAGGCCATCCACTTTGCATTTTGTCCAAGTAAGTGGGCGCCCAAAGTGCCCTATGTATCACAGTGCGATTCCTTTGCACGTATGATCAAAAAGATTTCGTTAGTTCTGAGGGATAATGCTTTCAAAACGTCACGTGTTTTCAAGGCGCTGTTGGTATTTTCTTAAGAATCCTTTCAGTCTCCCAGGCGCAGTACAGCCACGTAACGAATCATTTTGAACGTTTGACGACATTGAGAAATTATGATACGTAACAATTGGTGTCGTTTTATTCCAACAAATAAACCGTCTGCAAAGTAAATGCTACACACCGACCATGAAAGAAAAAAATCATTACACCATACCACCAAGCATCTATTGCAAAACACGCCTTGTTAGCACTACCTTTCTCTGGAATAAAGTACAAACAGTTCTTACGGAGGAAGCTCAATCGAAACGTTCCATAGTTCTGCCGTTTTTAAAAAAAAAACCTGGTATCATGTCACAAGTGCATTAATACGTGACGAGCAACCTCATAAGAAGTCAATGCAAAATTCGACCAATCCACAACAATGCACTTGGGGCATACAAATTGAACTGAACTAACATACGACACTCCTTATAAAAACGGCAGACTTATGGAACAGGAAAAAAGCCTAGTAGTACGTTATGTTTACATAAATCAAATAAATTATGTCTCTCCTCAACAGATAACAGACATACGGATTTACACGACACGTACTAAATTCAGAATATATATATAAACAAAAAATGCATGTGTACGTGTCCAAAGCCGTAGCTATAGTAAGTCGAACCTATTGTATTTTACCAGTTTTTGTTATTAACTCAATGTCCTAAAAGCGGGATTCTGTTCTGCTAAAACCCCCTTTTCGTGCGTTGTTATACTCTTCTTAATATTAATAAAAACTATTTTTGTACACCATAGTACATGGCAAGTGCAATATTACCTTTAGGATCACACACTGCTTATTATCTAAAAATCACAAGCAAATCAAGTTGTACAGCCTTTCGTTTGCGTAAGTCAACAACCAATCTCCTTGAACATCAATGATACGAGCATAGTGACATCTACCAGACAGTCCCTGGCTGAATAGTTTACACAACATGCTTTACGTTTGACTTCTTTTCAGAACAGGCGAAAGCACTCTTCGGTACTGAGATTACAAGAATAGTGCAGATTTAGTATAGACCAAATTGTGAAGGTTTTGAGCGATTTGTTTAAAGCTATGACCCAAAGCATTCAATGCGGGCAAAGCATCAGAAATTGCACACTACTTTGCATACACAAATCAAAATATAAAATCAAAATATTACAAAAAAAAGGAACAAACTTGCCCGCATACATTTCATTTCTGTAAAAGAGACAGGGGCACATAACACTTTGCATTGTCACAAATCTCACATTGAATTGCCAGCCGGCATATCGATAACAGAAAAATGAAAGCATTTATTGGTGAATAGGCTGATGGTATCAAAATATACTTCTACAATTATCCACATTTAAAACTGTGACCATTCATTCGATTTCGATAAAAATGCTAACAGTAAATTACACCACACCAACAATTGAACCGTTTTCCCTGTATACCACTTCTTGGCGTGGTTATTACTTCCTAATATGCACATCGTTTGGCTTTGATTTCCACGAGTCAGACTTTAAGGTGACATGCACGCTGTACGCGATTTTAGGCGTTACTCGTGTAATCCGAATACGACACTGGACGATTGACTTCTTTACACCAAGCTTTCCACTCGTCCGGGCCACAAGAATACATCACACTATTACGCGTAATTTCACGATGCATGGACGGTGAATTAGGACACATTCAAGATTGCTACCTCGGGCAGTGCACGTCGTTGGCACGCAACAAACACGAATTCTCATTTCGGCTGAGAACCAAATGCGTTATCATCTTGCCAAGTACGATTCGCAAGATTCTGAAGGTTAGAATATACACCACCGACTACTGCCAGATTTTACTAATTTTTTTTTTCCAATTCGGAAAGTAAGTCAAGGCCATTCGGCTCAAGACTAGAAGCGGTGCTGGTAACGTGACAAGGACTGGGACCCTGGCAGGATTCTGCTCGATTTGCGCAAAACTCATCCAAGAACTCAAAAGGAAAATGTAATCGGAATAATTACTATACGACTAACGGGTAGAAACAGCCTGGGTACATACAACAATGCTAGACGTAGAATTTGATTTTCTCTCGACTGAAAGGGCGGAGAATCGTGACAATGTGGGGCACACGGCCCAACCATTTGAAAATGAAGCAATCTTTGATGAGTTTTTCCAAATACAATGTAGCAAGGTCTGAATCAAGGGATAGATGTACCTCATAAGGCCTACCTGACCTCCTTAACAGCTGTCATTAGCGACCATGAAGGTCAGAAAGCGGAATACGACCCCCTCCTCGTATCACTGACCCAATTCATCGGATAAATCACTATCGTCTTAAATATTTCTCGAGTGGTCTTGAAATCTTTCTAGCGCTGCGGCAAGTGTAAACTAAGTTTATGTCGCAGTGATGTATAAACTCAAGCAGTTGTTCCGATTCTCAGCAACAAGAAAAAATTCAGGAGAAAGGAAAAGATGATTTAAGAGATAAGCCTTGAGAATAATACCGTAAGGTCGATTCATTCAAGCTTCCGAGAAAGGTGGAAAATAGGGATGTTGTGAAAAGAAGAGAGATACGGTGAGAGACAAGGTGATGGATTCTGAAAGGAATCGGATTCCAGTCTGACATAATTTTGCGAATATGCACTGCTTGCGCACCTGTGTTTGAAGTTGTGTAAAAATATTGGCAGCATCACTGGTATCTGGGGTTTGATATCTGACGTAAAGCCTCATATAAAGAGTTGCTTAAATTAGAAAAAAAGGTCTGTACTACAATATCTGATATTAGTTTAAACTTGGGAATCGACTTTAAAAACGGGATGTTGGAAAATTAGACTAGACAGTCTGCAGTAATAATCACACTACATGTAATATGGACTATAGTGATATGTGACATTTGGGACAAAAATAATGCAATAGAAGTTATTAACTTCAATTTTTTTATAAGGCCAGTACAAATCGTTCAACTTTTGTATCGCATCATTCTCTTTTCCAACATATACACGTAACGGAATAACAGCCAGAATAATTTACAACGGAC